ACAAATCCAACTTGCTCATGGTATATAATCCTTTTCATATGTGGCTAGATTTGGTTTGCTAATATTTTGTTAAGGATTTGCTTCTTTGTTCAAGAGAGATATTGATCTGCCATTTTATTTTCTTGAGATGTCTTTGGCCTGGCTTTGAAGTCAGTTAAATTGGCCTGACAAAGTAAATTGGGCAGTTTTTCCTTCTCTTCTATTTTTGGAAAGAGTTTGTGAAGAATTAACATTACTTCTTTGAATATTTGATAGAATCCACCAAATTTGATCCTGGGATTTTCATTGTGGGAAGATTTTTAATTCCTTATTCCCTTTCTTTACTTATTAGAAGTCTATTTCTATTTTCTATTTGTTCTTAAATTAGTTTTTACAATTTGTCTCTAATAACTTGTGTCTTTCTAAGAATTCATCCATTTTACCTTAGTTTCTACAGTGATGACATAAAATTGATCATAATATTCCTTTTTTTTAAGATTTTATTTATTTGACAGAGAGAGAGACAGAGCAAGAGAGGGAACACAAGCAGGGGGAGTGGGAGAGGGAGAAGCAGGCTTCCCACGGACAGGGGGCCCGATGCAGGGCTCAATCTCAGGACCCCGGGATCACGACCTGAGCCGAAGGCAGATGCTTAATGACTGAGCTACCCAGGTGCCCTGATCATAATATTCCTTTATAATACTTTCAAATTCTGTGAGGTTGGTAGTAATTTCACCCTTTCACTGCTGATTTTGGTAATCTGTGTCTTCTTTTTTTGGTCAGTCTAGGTAAAGTTTTGTCAACTTTGTTGATCTTTTCAAAGAACCAACTTCTAGTTTCACTGATTTTTCTCTAACATTTTTCTGTTCGTTTGGTTTCTGCTATATTCTTTATTAATTCCTTCCCCTGCTTGCTTTTGGTCTGGTTTGCTCTTCTTTTTCCAGTTTCTTAAGCCGGAAGCTTAGGACTGATTTAAGAGTCTTCTATTTTCTTATATATGCATTTAAAGGTACATATTTTCCATGAAGCACTGCCTTATCTGCACACACAAATTCTAAGTTTTTTGTTTTCATTCATTAAATATTTTAAAATTTCCCTTGTGTTTTTAGTTGACAACTTTTTGGGGCTTTCTAAGATTTCTGTTACATGATTTCATCTTTTGCACTCTATTGAGATTTCTTTTATGGCCAAGCATATGGTCTATCTAACCTAGAGAATGTTTCCCATATGTTTGAAAAGAATGCAGTTGCTGGGTGGAATTTTCTATATATGTCAGTTAGGTCAAGTTGATTGATAATGTTGTTGAAATCTTCTATCTTCTTGCTTATTTTGTGTCTAGTTAGTTGTTCTATCAAGTATTGAGAATGGGGATTGAAATCTCCAATTATTATTGTAGAAACTTTATTTCTCCTTTCACAGTTTCACTTTATGCATTTGGGGACCATTGTTAGATGTATACACAATTTGTGATTATTGTATCTTCCTGATGTATTGACCTTTTTATCATTATGAAATGTCTTTGTCTTCAGTAATACTTCTTGTCTTAAAGTCTATTGTGTCAGTTAAGCTTTCGTATCATTAGGTGTGCTTCTTACAGACAATATATAGCTGAGTGTTGTGTTTTTATCCAGTTTTGACAATCTCTGCCTTTTGAGGAGAATGTTCAGTCCATTCATATTTAATGTAATTATTATGGTTGGATTTACTTTTGCCATTTTCTTAATTATTTTCTATTTGTGTCACACCTTTTTTATTCCTCTGTTCCTCCTTTATTGCTTTCTTTTGTGATAAATACTTTTAGTGTACCATTTTAATCCTCTATATTTTTTACTTTCTATTTTTTCAGGGTTAGTTTCTTAGCAACTGTTCTAGGGATTATAATTTGCATCTTAATTTATCATAACACTTCAATATAATAATTCCAGTAAAACAGAAACTATACTCTAGTACTTGTCCATTTCTCTGTCCCTCTTTTGTACTTTGCCATATATACATTTCATGTATACATGTCATAACCCAACATAACAGTATTATAATTCTTGCTTTATATGATTATATGTATTTTAAATGTGGAAAGTGAGAAAAATATATCTACAGACTCTTTTATATTTACCTAAACATTTATCCTACTCAACACTCTTTAAGTTCTTCCTACAGATTTGAATTAACATCTGGAGTCATTTCCTCTCAGCCTGAAGAATTTCCTTTGGTTATTTATTATAAGACCATCTAGCAGCAGGAAATTCTATCAATCTTTGTTTATCTGAAAATAATTCACCTTTCATTTGAAGACTAGTTTTTCTGGATACTGAATACTTGGCTGACTTTTTTTTTTTCTTTCAACATTTTGAATACGTCAAGCTTTATGGTCTCTACTGTTTCTGATGGGAAGTCAGCCATTAAAGGTATTATTAGTTCAGTTCCCTATGTGTTAATAAGACATTTTTTTTCTTCCAGCTTTCAAGATTTTCTCTTTTCCTCTGGCCTTCAACAGTTTAACTATGATGTGTCTATCTGGGTTCTCTTTGTGTTTTCCAACTTGGGGTTTGTGGAGTTTGAATCTATAGATTGTTTTACATTAAATCTGGAAAGTTTTCTACCATGGTTTCTTCATATATTTTTTAACTCCTCTTCTCCTCTCCTAGACCTCTCATTATGTGTATGTGTATCTAATGTGTATTTAATGTTTTCTCGCAGGCCTCTGAGGTTCTGTGGACTTTTCTGCCATCTTTTTCTCTCTATTCTTCAAGGTGTATAAACTCTATTGACCTATATTTAAATTCACTCATTCTTTTTTTGCCATGTCAAATCTGCTATTGAGCCCACTGAGTGAACTTTTAGTTACTATACTTTTTAACTCTATACTTTTTAACTCTAGAGTTTTTGTTTCTCTTTTATAATAATTATCTCTTTGTGGAAATTCCTTATTCATTGAATCACTGTCACCCTACTTCCCTTTAATGCTTTAAACATGGTTTTCTCTGGTTTTTTTGAACATACTTATAATTGCTGCTTTAATGTTTCTGGCTGCTAAATTCAACATATGGAGACACTTAGATACAATTTCTAGTGATTTTCTTAAGTATGGGTCATATTTTCTTATTTCTTTGCATATCTCTAAATTTTATGTTGGATATTGGACATTTTAAATAATACATTATAGCAACTCTAGATTCTGATTTTCCTTGAGGGTGGTTGTTGTCTTATCTGTTTGTGTTTTATAGTATCCTGATGAACTAAAAATCTGTTTCCCCTGCACTGTGTGGCCACTGATGTCTCTACTCCATACCCCCGACCCCATTTTTCTTTTTAAGGCTGCCTTTTTAAGATCTTTTCAAGCTGGTCTCCAGCGTTCACCTTAGTGTCTGACTAAAGACCGATCAGAGATTTTATTCAATTATCTCAATCCAGTAAGGCTTCCACTCCCAGGATGGGATTTATGTGTAGAATGAGGAGTGCATTCAAAGTCTGAGCCTTTCACAAGATGGCCCCAGATTTTATTACCACTAGGCTTGCTTGAATCTCCTCTCCACATATTTCCTAGGTTCCACTGACCAGTGATGCATGGGTGGCTTATGCCCACTTCATTTTCTGCTGTGCATATGTACAGCCTCCAGTCAACCTGGGATATGTCGTGAACTTATCAATCCCCCATGACTATCTTATCTCCTAGAGCTCTCTATAAAATCCTGCTACCTCATGAGTCTGTTACTTGCTACAAACTGGACTATACCTCTCACTCAGTTAGCTCAGACATTCCTTTTTTAATAGTGCATATCACGTGTTGCTGTAGTCCAAAACTTAACTACGCCAAATCTTGGTTATAACTTTGAGATTGTATTTACCTCTGAGATAAAATTGCAAGTTCATTTTTTTGTTATTCATATTCCAGGCACAGATGTGCAACTATTTTAGACTAGACATATGAGACTCACCCTCCTTTCTTTTTTGTTGGTTCTGGGAAGAACTCATTTTGTGCATATGTGCTTGTGTACAGTGTATATAGAAAAGTTGAGGATTTCTCTACATCAAGAAAATAAAGAAGCTACTAAAAATGTAGTAAAGTCACAGGCAAAATCATGCTAACAGACTTATCTATTCAGTCTAGACTCCACAGTGTATGAGAAATACTGATAACCTACAGTATATGAAAGTAACGCTAAGATGACATATGAAAAATATTTGAGAGAAATGTCAATCTTTAGCCTGAAAAAAAATGACGTGTTGCTAGCCTTTCAAATATTTAATGTAGACTTACTTAATACTGATATAAAAGGCAGAATCAAACTTAGGGGTATAATTTTGAGTTCAATATACAAAATAAACTAACAACTTAAGCTAAAACAATTGAACTCATTTGGTTCTTTTGCAAAGTGATGAACTTCTCTCACTGAGAATGATCATAATAGACTAGATGACCACATTTTTAAGGAGTGTTTATTTAGGAGATGAACTAGATGACCTTTCAACTCTAACTTTCTGTAATTCTATAAAAACAATTATATAAGAATTTAGATGGATAAAAATAACATTATCATGGAAAATAATCCAAAGTATACATAAAGATGATCATAATTTAGGTTTTGGTAATAAAGGAAAGAGTCATAAAAACTATTCCTAAAAGACAGGGATTCTACTGCACTACTGGGTCTCAAAGGGCAACAACATGTTGGATATTACAAAAAAGCTATGAGAAGCAGAAAAAACTTTTCAAAAACAAGAGAGCTGAAGTGGGAACAGAAGATGGCTAAAAGGAACAAGATATAGAGACTGTTACATAAAACCAGACTTCACTCTGGAAAGGCTCAAGCTGAATGGGTGCATAACAAACATTTATAAATGATAAGAAGGGCACAAATAAAGTAAACTCAGACTTGTTCACCCAAACCTGGAAGGCAATGCCTAAACTCTGAAAGAGGTAAGGTTAGCACAAATAAAGAATATATCATTATATTCATGAAACAGTAAGATAATTTGCTAGGATTAAAACAGGTTATAGGCTGAAAACAGAAATAACTTACCTCTTTTAGTTGATCAGCACTCCCCCATGATGCAGAACGCTGATGTGACCTCTTTTCTGCTCCCTCTTCTGCCCAACAGCTGGGTGTCTTTAATTAAAAAAAAATAATAAAAATAATAAAATAAGGAACTTTGTCTCTACTTCTTAATCTCACAGCAACTAAAACATATTTCAAAATCTTAGCACATACCAGTTAAGGGTTTATACTAAATACTAAAATCCCTTAAATGCTAAGATTTTCATGACCCATGAAATGTTTAAAACATTCTGTCATATTATGAATTAGATATGATCAATCTACAACATCTCTGAGTAATGTTACTCAAACATTTGTTTTTTGACATTAACATTAATAACAAAGTTATCAAATAAAAGAGAATTGTGAAGATACACATATTGGTGCTTTTAAAGAGACTGCCAAACTAAATATAAAATGGCATTTCTACTAAGTAAAATAGATGGAAATGAGATTAACAGAACTAGCTCAGAAGCAGTGGGATTACAGATGACCTACATGTCAAATATCTAGCTAGATAAAGGGTTGATTGTACTATTCTTCCTATACTCAGGAAAGAGTGTTAGCAATAGTATTCTTTTTTGAAAAACATCCAGCATCTTTATTTATTTATTTAAAAAAAATTTTTTTTTTTTTTTATTTGACAGAGAGAGACACAGCGAGAGAAGGAACACAAGCAGCAGGAGTGGGAGAGGGAGAAGCAGGCTCTCCGCCAAGCAGGGAGCCCGATGCGGGGCTCCATCACAGGACCCTGGGATCATGACCTGAACCGAAGGCAGACGCTTAACGACGGAGCCACCCAGGCACCCCAACATCCAGCATCTTTAAATGAAAACATAAAATTATAATAATGAAAAAGAAAAACATTAAGCTATATAAACTTACTATAATCTGAAGCAATACATCTTTTTTAAAAAAGAACTTGAGCTACATGTCAGAAAAGAGAATTGTTTTTACCTAAAACCCCATTTTCAATAATTTTACCAGTAACAGACACTATATATACCCAAATGTAACATAAAACACTAAATCAAATAGCAAGACTATTTAGGAGTTGCTTAAAATATCATTCTTAAGATATGAGAAAACAGTGTAATGCAAATTAGGGAAAGTAAAAATCACTAAAGACAGACAAAGGATAATGATTAGCACAATAAATATATACGGCTTTAAAAATGACTCATTGCATACTGAAAAAAATCAATCCTTATGTTGAGGTTGACGCTATATGGCTTCTTATGAAGAAGCCATCAGTTCTACTTTATAGAATTCAAATGCTTGCGAACAACTTTTTGAATAATTACCACCTCTTAAAAATAATAATATCCCAAAATAAAACCAACAGTCAAATGATAGTTGAATAAAAACACAAATAAACTGGTTAACCAGTTCAAATATCAAAGTGAAGCTATTTAGTGATAACAGAGCAAAATAGTTTATTCAGTTGACAAGTTCAAGGATAAGAGGTATCACTATATCAAATAAGCTGTTTTCAAAGAACTAAGTTATTAAAATTTCCTAAGTTCAGGCCTAGATAAGTCAAACTTCACTGAAAAAATTTTGCACGCCCTCTACCAAGTAGTCGTATCTTTAATAATGAACTATTCTAAAGTTATTCAGTTATGACAGTTTATCTTCATCAAAGTTTTGAGAATTTATATGCCTTATTACTTTTACTTTTCTACCAAGTGTAAGCATTACTCTTGTCAAAATCAAATGATTAAGGATCACAAGGTTTAAAACTCAAAAGTACATTTACAGAAAATGAGTGAAATTTTGGGTATGTTCCATAATTATTTAACAATTACATTTATAACAGGAATTATTTTCACTTTGGTACAACTCTAACTTTTTCAAAAGACATTTACATAAACTATATCTCCAACTTAGAGATAAATCAATAGCCACAAAACTTTTATAATTGTCTTAATACTACTAAATATGCCAATGGCAAATGAAACTACATCTGAGGTCTCTTATCTCACAGAACTTTTTTCTTCATATTATCATACTTTTCTTAAAACTGAATGTGAAAACCTATTTGATTATTTCAGAGTGTAGTGTTATTTATACACAAGAAATAAAAACTAACTACAAAATAACATTTATGTTCCTGACATCTAGCTAGTAAAATAGGTAGTTTTTTAAGAGTGCAAAACCATTAGAAGACTTCTCAGTCATGTGGCTGCAGAATTACATGCATATAAATTGTTTAAATATAATATCATACTATCAACTTTTCAAAAAAAAAAAACTCCCCAAAAAGTAATTTCATTTTAATCACAGCAGTTTAAAATAAATAGTATGAAAAATGCTCTAGTCTGCAAATATATTCTATAGACTACGTTGTCCAATAAAACAGCTACTAGCCACATGCAACAGTTTAAATTTAAATTAATGAAAATGAAATAAAACTAAAAATTCAGCTCCTCAGTAGCACTAGCACATTTCAAATGCTCAATAACCACATGTGGCTAGTGGCTACTGGCTGCTATACAAGACAGCACAGATGTGGAACATTTCCATAGCTGCAGAAAGTTCTATTGAGAGCAGTGTTTTATACATTTAATCACAGATTTTGAACAAGTTATTTTAGTCAAAGCAAAACCAAAGGACGGCTCCTTGGTTTATTAAATCTATGTAAAGTTCATGCTTGTGATGTCACAGAAGATGAACTAGTTTGTATCTAATTTATTAAATCTGAGGATCTGAGAAATGCTTTACTATTTAAATACATAAACAACACAAAGCAGCAGCACTTCTTTCCTATCAGTAAGCAATTCCTTCCGACTGGACTGTCCACTGATCTAGAGTAGAATTTTATGAACTGTGCTACTTATAACATGCTCCTGGATGTTGGTAAGATATAGATAAGAGTTCAATGGTCAAATTAATTTGGGAAATACTGTGTTTCATACCTTCCCATACTCCATGTACAATGCAATTAGCATTTCAAAAATTCAAATACACACACTTTTATAAACCTGCTTTACTTTCTCTTATTTATATAACCCCAGAACACTTATTTTACAAGCAGACTTTCAACATCTTCCACAGAGAGCTTAGAAAGAAATCTAATCCTCAATAATTGATGTTGTATATAATTGCTTGCTTTTCATTCACCACACTTAGGGGATTCTTCCTTTCTAGTTGCCTCCACCTACACTACCAAGGAAGAGAAAGTAAACCTTTTGTACACTTGAATAATGCAAAACCAAAGCCATTTCTAAGACTGTTGACCAAAAGGTAGTTGGCTAAAAAAAATTCCCTCTATGTGATAAGGATACCTATAGATGAAAAAGTCCATTTTCTATTTTCATCTCTCAGAATTGTCCAAAGTCCAGCCCATGAAGCTTTCTCTCCAACCCTCAGGTCCATCCACTACCTCTTGGTTTCCTATGTGAGGACCTCTTCTTCTATGAGTGAAATACACAGAAAACAAGTTCTATTGGCACGGGACCATACACTCATTAAAAGAATTTTTTTATGAGAAGTTTTAGGTCCACAGCAAAACTGAGAGAAAGTTACAGAGATTTCCCATATACCCCATCTCCCCCCCTTCATGCACAGCCACCTCTCATCAAAGTGGTACATTTGTTGCAAACTGATGAACCTACACTGACCCAACACTATCACCCAGAGTTCAGTTTACACTAGGGTTCACTCTTGGTGGTGTACATTCTATGGATGTGGACAAATGTATATATGACATGTATCCCACTAGTATAGTATCATACTGGGTATTTTCACTGCCCTAAAAATCCTCTGTATTCTACCTACTCATTCCTCCCCACATCCCCTGATGCCTAGCAACCACTGATCTTTTAGCTTTCTCCTTTTTGGCCTTTTCCAGATGTCATGTAGTTGGAATCATAAGGTAGGGTCACATTTTCAGAGTGGCTTCTTTCACTCAGTAACATATATTTAAGGTTCCTCCATGTCTTTTCACAGCTTGATGGTGCATTTCTTTTTAGTGCTCAGTAATATACTATTGTCTAGATGACCAACTTTACCTATCCGTTCACCTATTGAAGGATATCTTGGCTGCTTCCAAGTTTTGGCAATTATGAATAAAGCTGCTATCAACATCTATGTCCAGGTTTTGTGTGGACAGAAGTTTTCAACTCCTTTGGGTAAATCCCAAGGAACATGAATGCTGGATGGTATGAAAAGGCTATGTTCAGTTTTCTAAGAAACCACCAAACTGTTTTCCAAAGTGGCTGTAGGCTATTGCACTCTCACCAGCAATGAATGGGAGTTTCTACTTCTCTGCATTGTCATTGTCCTGAATTTTGGCCATTCTAATAGGTGTGTTTCATTTGTATTTCTCTGATGACAAATGATGCAGAGCATCTTTTCATATGCTTGTTTGCCATCTTTCTTTGTGAGGTATGTTAGGGTCTCTGGCCTATTTTTTAACCACATTGTTTGTTTTCTTACTGTTAAGTTTATTTAAGAGTTCTTTGTATATTTTGGATAACAGTCCTTTAACAGATGTGAATACTGGGTAATTTTGTTATATCTTTATTCACAAACTAGCAAGAGCAAATGTGCTTTCCTGCTTTATCAACTTCAAAACAGATTAAATGAGCTCCTAGCAAGAAAGTACACTTTTTCAATATGCAAGAGCCCAAAGCCACTTCCAAAACCCCCCACAAAATCAAAAAAATGAATCACTTCATAAAATTCTTGTAATCTTATTTAAAACCTAAGTAAAACTTTTTTTTTTTTTTTAAGTAAACTCTATGCCCAACGTGGGGCTTGAACTCACGATCCCGAGATCAAGAGTTACATTCTCCACCAACTGAGTCAGCCAGGCACCCCTTATGTAAAACTGAAAAATCTATTTTTTGTACAATTAATCTTTGGTCTTGGAATTTAATGTAGTTTATAATCTATAATAGAAATATGATTCCTGACTGCTAATGATTTTACAGTACTTAAGGAGATGATCCTTAGTATTAAAGTACTGATCAACCTGGCAAGAAATGAAATGGAATTACATGAAAATCAATGATACTTAAATTAATAATTATGATTGTAGACTGATTTTAAGTTATAAAAAGCTTTAC